ATTCGTATAAACTGATCAAATCCCGCATCTATAATGAGTATTAAAAGGGAAGCTAAATTAGCCAACAACTGTAAGGTGTTTAAAATCATAAATAATATTCAACGTTAAACTGGTACACAATTAAAAACATTTTATTTAGGCCTATCTATGGCCTTCAAAAAGTTGACGACTCTTGGCCTAAATAAAATGTTTTTAATTGTGTACCAGTTTAACGTTGAATATTATTTATGGATTTTAACTTTATACACAAGTGCCAAAATACTATAATTGTATGCCATAATTCAATTTTAATGAAGCATCATCTCAACACTATCTTTGCTCTCCATATAATTGTGGTTAATACTCTGTTAACGTATAACACAGTCGGTAGTTATGTTAAAGGTACACAAGATAGGTTTGGTTTGATCTAGTGTGGTTTAGAAAAGTTGTACGAATGTTGCAGAGAATCGCACCACATGATCGACTTCTGGTCAGAGTGTTGAGAGCTAATTCAAACTAGTAATTCAAGGCCCAATTATACTAATCACGGTTATCACATTTACATCAGGTAAAATACCCGAGGCTTCATATTTTTAAATAACAAAATGCATATCCATGTTGTCAGTAACAATTCAACAGATTGAACAGAATTGCATACCGAAATATAAAGCAAGCTCAATAGGGATGTGAAAAGTCGCAATCGTATTGTAGAGGTCAGGTTATTCTTTGCAGGATTATACTATCTTGCAATAAAACTTCAGTATTTTTAATATAAGAAAGTGTGAGAATATTCGCTGAATTCAACTCTGAAAAATGAGTAACTTATCTAACTATCATAAACATGTCTTTGAAAAAAGAATCAAATATTTCACGTACAGAATTGTTGATATCAGTTAAAGCGGTTTCAATCAATTCTCTGTTAGACTACAGGCAAAACAAAAGCAAATGTTGATTTAATACATCAGGGTTTGACTGTAGTACAAAGATTATGAAACAAAGATGAAAATAATTAGTAAGAAAAATGATGTCACTTATATTTTTAACACGGGTATAAAAATATACACATAATATTTAAATAATATTGTAATAAGGAGCAGTTAAGTTTGTATAACTAAGTAAAAGTTAATAGCATAATACTTGGTTCATGATTTTTAACATGTGCAGGAAATATACTGCAGCTTCATTCCGAAACCTTTGATTGTTCACGCTAATTTAAAACCACACACAGGGTGAGAAGTGCTTCTAATTTCCTGTTAATATTTTGCTATTAATATCTTCAGCACTCTTCCCAAATAGCTGTTTATTGTTTAGTGAGTAAGGTTTTTCTGAATTAATGCCTTTTGTTTTACAGTGAGCAGAGAATGGCCAACCACAGTTCAAACATTAATTGCGTTGCCAAAGTCTGTCAGTACCAGTGACTCTACAGTCGTTTATTCACAAAACAAATTATTTATATCAAAGTCATATTTTGAAGTAAGTTCTTTTCTTTCTCCAGATATGAAAATTGTACAAAATGTGGAATATTGTAGAGCTGAAGGTATAATTTGGAGTTGAATGGCTTTTCATGAGTGTCAAGTCATACCAGATAATCTTTAATCCTGGGACACTTGTTATCTGGAATTGCCATTAATCTAAGGAGTGTTATTATTCAATAAGCAAGACCTTAATGTACTTTAAAAAAAAAGGACCTTCTTGACTGAGAATCGGAGAGTTTAAACCATTGGATATATGTAATGTGTGTCTTAGCAAAATGTTTTTTGTTCTTTTTCTAATTTATCTAAAAAACATATAAACCCATGGATATTACTCTTTTTGTGGACAGTTCTATGATTACGCTGAACTAATGAACTTTAAATGCATCGAGAGTATTAGTGAATTGGTTTTCAATGTTCATATCTAGAACAAACGTTGCTGTTCCACAATGTCCCAAAATTGTATTTTCTTGTCCAAATATTGAGCGAATGTATGGAGTTTCTTCTGCAATTCCTTATCCAACCCTATAGTTTTGTTGATTATTTTATAGGTTTTTATGTTATATTTGTTCGCCGTGCTTTTTAAGGCAAAGTTTTACAATGCTATCTAGAGCATGTTCAGTACGATTTTGAGGTCTAGTACTATTTTATTTTACTTAAATATTTGTATTATGTATTACGAGATATCTCTGTAGCTAAGGTGGTTTTATTTCTTAAAGAAACGATACGCGAACCGAGTATTATATCTATTATACTGATAAGAATCGCTGATAGTAAAAATTCGAACTTTTATAGAAATAATGTAACTTGTACACATTTCTCAGTCATTAACGTTTACTTGTTTCTTCTAACTATGAGCAAGAATAAAAATCAAATACGAAAAACGATGGATTTTACAACTCTTTTCAATGAGCACAGTGAAAGCGTCCGGGTCTATATATATATATAGAAGTGGAACACCGGTAATGGAACAACAGCCACATGCAAGCTTCGGGTAGAAGTTTTGGCTATTAACAATTTCTCTAGCAGTCTGAAATTAAATAATTATCAGGATCTAAATGAATTTGATATTCTAATGATAATAATATTTTAATGATGTTGCTCTGTGCTAATTATGGTATTCAAAATGTAATGACATGTTCGTCTGTTCAAAAGCTTAGTATTTCTAATTTTTTCTGAAGTTGGTTTGGTTTGTTGTTACTTATGTAACAGAATCAGAAACAAATCTTGTTCACTTCACAGTTAAACATTTATGTATAAGACAAAAATGATAATTATAACTTATTAGAAAAAGTCGATAAAGACCTGTAACCTCTTCGTTAGGTCCTACTGTGAATATTACATACCTTCAGGTGCTTAGGAGTAGGTCCTGCTGTGAATATTACATACCTTCAGGAGCTTAGGAGTTAGGTCCTGCTGTGAATATTACATACCTTCAGGTGCTTAGGAGTTAGGTCCTGCTGTGAA